GATCAAACAATGACCAACACAAAGGCGGGGGGGAGATTCTCTCCGTCCCATATCTTGCTTCAAATGGGTCGTACTCGAACTTCCTGCTCAGTAGTGCAGACGTCTTTACCGCTCGACCACCGAGCTTGCCTGTGTCAGCTGGCTGGTTCGAGTCGGATGTAGCAGCGGGTACCGCGAACAACTGTTTCCAAGGAATGTTTTGCTTTATGGTATTTCCACACGGCATAATGAGAGACTAGTCTCTCTTGATACAAGCGCTCGAACATTTGACGTACTTGCGCACGAAATTTGAATTTCATTTTTATTGCGTTGCAAATGGATTCACAAACGGCTACCAGGCGTTTATTACGTCATTGGTTGGTTCTCACCATGCCTTGCGTCATCTGGTGAAAGATCGACATGCAGCCCCTGGAGTCGAGGTTGGAAACGCACATCTGCAAAAATTCCTGTAAATTCAGTGGTGGAATGGTCCCCATTCCTATTTTAAAATGTATAGGGGATGGTAGCTGCGGTTTAAAGCGTGCGACTAGCCATATAAATTTGGACTAGCCCTGTCAATTTGGTTGCTGAGTATTCAAGTTTTTTGTAAGGCCACTACACCCTTTCACTAATAAATTCATAATTTGCACGCATGCGCACAAATGGCCTTGGCGGCAAAACATGTGAGCGGGCCATTGAAAAGGTACATGGGTGCAACTTTGATGATCATTTTCTCTCCGATTTTCTGGCTTTGTTCAGTTTTTTCTTCAGAAAATCCCATTAAATCGTTTTGCTATCAGTTTCTAATCTAAGCAGGGTTTTAGTGCTCTGTAAAAAGACTTTGTAATCGTGATTTTTCCTGTGCGCAGGAGATCGCCGTTCCTTAGTAAGGCCCCCTTCATCATAAGTACATGTAGTATAAGTGACATCGTAAGTGTTTTGGGAGCCAATCTGTGCATTAATAAACACGTACTGATGTTCAGTGCACATGTACTCTACGTACATAGCTTAATTTACCACTGAACCTTGTCATAGCCGAAACCAAAAGAAATGGTATCCAGTTGTAGTGTTTGGGGTTGTACGTCGAGACGAACTGAAGATTCCAAAGGGAATGGGATCTGGTTCTTCCGCAGATTTCCTTAGTGCAGAAAGCAGCGAATCAAATGGGTACAGTAGGCCTACATGTGTATTGAATATCAGCAATTCGTTTCAGCGGAAAGGAGAATAAAAACAAGCAGTTATCCTTGCTAAGTCTCTGTTGATCGCAGGGTGGTAATTCATTTTTAAATGATTATCATAGAAAAATCATTTTAGGGCAATTTATATCAAATCAGTGATTACTATTTTAAATTTTAGATAGGCTTAACTGAATAATTTATGGTAAAGTTGTTTTGGGTATTAACGGAGAAGAAAAAGCAAAATGTGTTATCAGATCCTGCTAGATTTGTGCATGGAGCGGGCATCGTTTCCTCATTCAAATACATCCAGCAGGATTCTGCCGGATTCCCTCTCCCTGCATTAATTTGGAAGGTATGTGTAAGACGTCTGGAGACTACGTACGGGACGGGAACCAGTCTAAAGGTGCTACTTGCGTCAAGTGTTGCGCCTTAAAGGCGGCTTTCCATTATGTACGTTTCCATATGTACGTTTTTGGTGCGTTGCGTACACGATGCGTTCATACATTTCTTTTTCACGGACACAAAAATCGACTCCATTAACATAACACACGTGTACGTTACGTTCGGCCGTCAAAATTTTGACGGATACGCAGCGCTTGGCGCAAGTGTTGACGCGTGTTATGGAAAGACGTACGGGCGATTCACAGTAGGGCGCTTCCAAGAGTTCAATGCAAGGTGTTGCCCAATTACAATGCACGAAATCTGTCGACCCTTTCCAAACGCGCATTGGGTCGACATAAGATCAATTGTATATTCGGCACACCATATAGATATAGCGTTAAAAGTCTTTTTATTCCATATGTATGACCGAACACAGACGTACTAATTATTCTGGGTCCCACTCGCGCTCGTGGGATAGAGTTAACCCTAAGCTATGGTAGGTCTTATGACAGGAGGACGATTCTGTCACTATCAGACCCTAAATCAGCGAAAATGATGCTGGATGAGTATTCAGACTACATATTGTATGCTGTAAAATCTCTCGTACCCACTTTCAACTGAAGAAAGTCAATATAATTTTATCAAAGCCTGGCAATACACGGCACAAACAAGGATGAGTTGATTTTTTACCTTTGCCTATGGGTGTAGGCCTATATATCAAAATATAATAAAGTTATTCTCGGACTCAAATGAATGTAAATATGGTCACAAAGTTTAGTTCATTACTCTTGCCATAGCTGTATTCTTTATTGGTCCAATGTGGCCATGTACCAGCTTGTATGTGGGCAAACAGGCATAATGCATTAACATGTGGTGCACCGAACCCCACTGGGATCACCAGTTCCAGCCATCATGATATTAGGACATACCAGACCCACCACATCCATGCACACCACATGCACACCAGACCATAAAGTATAGGATACGCAATGACCAGACCGTCCCCCCGTGTATTGCCCCAGGGCACACCAAATCATGAAATTGGGGCACACACAAGACCTTGTCATATACGTCTCTACACTGATCGTCGTGTAAGAGAAGACCGGACCTAAAACACGCAAGACCAGGCCAGAGACCCTATGCCAAATAATAATTTCATTGTAACAGCAATTAAGGAAGCTCTAATGAAAAACTCAAACTGAACTGTTAAGAAATCAAGGCAAAGAAAATTCTCTCCCCCCCCCCCGCTTCAGATCTAAGGGGGGAAAGGACCACTGTGAACCTCCGGCGCGCCAATATAGCGCCTGTCCACAGAGTGAAATTTCTGACAAACTTGTTACTGTGTACTTATTCTGAGGGAATTTAAACAACTTTATTGGCCATTCCGATGGTGTATCTATGCAAAACTTAACCTGTACCTGTCACAGTCCCGCTAAAAATGCCTTCCCCCGATTGGACCAATGGGAGGAACAGTCGAACACCTAGTGAATATCCAGGCGACCGCAGTTTATAAAATTGAAATAACGTCATAAATATGTAACCCATTACGCCTGTCAGTGTACTGAGTAACTAATGAAGTAAGTCTGTAATGGTGGAGATGGGAGGGAGGTGGGCAAATAAAAATTCCAAATTATGAAGTGTCCCCAAGACAGAGCTTTCACATGGTGAACCCAACTTGCAGTGCTTCCCTTCTTACGCAGGCCACTCACACATTAGAAGCCGTCTTATTGGTTGGAAGTTCACCATTCTAATTGGTTAAAATCCCTCTGAGCTGATTGGCTGAGTATGCCACAGACACACTGGATCAGTTTGTCCTCTTGTGTTTTCCAAAAACATCTAAATTGTGTTTCGTGTAGACAAATTTCGTGTTAGTTACACCACCAACTTCCTGAGTAGATAGCCATTTCAATGTAGTCCATAGACCTGCAAAGGTTTCTCCAACCCTACATTCATCATCTCCGTAATTCTTGCAAATTTATCTGTTATTTTGTGTAGCACAGATCCTGACTTTTCACAACATCAGTATCCACTCAGGTAAACGATAACAATTCTTACATTTACTACACACTCCGTTCAAACACAATTGACACAAATATTTCATCCCAGGTCACTAAGTGCAAAGTCATTTCTGTAACCCCACATGGAAAGGCCTCCCCTGCCACCTAGTTTGCAGGCAGGAACAGCTCTGCTAAACCCAATCGCATATTCATGAGATAGCTTGACAGCTTTACAGTTGATTGGCTGATAGTAGTCATGTCAAGATCTGAAGTGCTTAAGTTTGCGATGGAATTCTGTGCAGCAGTAAGCACTCAAGATACACGCATGAAGGGAGCCAACAGGAAATAGTACTTAAAAGTTTATAGCTCTGACCTACTCAAAGAAATTAAAAATCTATGAATGTTCAAAATACTTCACAAAAAAATCGGAGAATAATTCATTTTATCACTTAAAGATAAACATGTCATATTTTTACTCGGGTGTATCCATCAGTGACGGTGTTCCAGGCGTTCTACATCATTACTGCTGCTGTTTACTAGGCCCAGAAGCCTTTTTTTTTTTCAAAACAATCTTATCTGCCAGGAAACACGTCTACCACTAATTAACCAGTAGTCCACTGCTAGGCCACCTCGTCGAAACTGGGCATGCAAAGTGTACTCCCTCCTATTCTACCTGAAGCTCCACCCATGATAAGCTTTGTGGCATTCAAAATTACTGGTTTTGTGGCACAAGCTCCAAGTTGGCACCAATGCGTACAAGAATCTTAAGTTGCATGTTACTACCACGCTATGTACTGGCCAGTTTAAAGCTTTCTCAAAATTATGCCCCGAAGTTTTCGTCGACCCTGGGCACAGTGAATAATATGCCTGTTAGATAATACCACCCTTCGGTACATACTTCGGTACGTACAAGCAGTTTATTCAAAAGAATATTCTTCATGACCAAATCGACCAGAAATTCGGTCTTTCCACCAAAGAAGTCACAATGAGGGCATCAGAACCTTTTTGTTCCAATACGGTTTATAATCAGGCTGAGATAACATGTGGCGCCTACTCGTGTATTGCCATCCTTTGGGAAAACCAAATCACAGCTATAAATGTTCACAATTTATTCGACACAACTTACTCGTTTGGTTACCTCTTACACGATTGAAAACACGAATCCTTCGCAGTGAACGATTTTCGAGAGTGTACATGAAAAACCAAGATTTCAAATCTGGCGGAATGCTTCAGCGCAAGTAAACATTGTCCCGTAATGCGGCATGTATATCCACTTTGATTCGATTTTTGGTTTCCAACGATAAAGAAGGAAACAAAGGAGTGCTCCTAGCTGATGAATATTTAAAATCCTAAAAGTACTTCATCGTTAATTTTTTCACAGGTAACCATGGACACCGGCGGTCATCGTCGTCGGGGTCAGCAACGAAACAGAAGCCACAGGCACGATGAACTCGATCGGGAAAGTGCTCAGGATTATGAACAAGGGAATAGACAGTTGAATGGACGAGGGCGTGGACGAGGACGTGGCCGGGGGCGTGGTCGAGGAAACACCCAAAAGCTTGGCCAAGAACGTCACGAACAGAGGGGACAAGGGCTTGGAGCATATGATGATGAACAGGGGCGTGCGAACGGGCGTGGTGAGATGCTTGAAGAAGGACGTGGACGTGGTCGACAACGAGAAAGGCGAGGACAACGAAATCAGGAGCATGGACATGGAAGATTCCAGGAGCGTGGACAAGGCCATTATCAAGAGCAACATGACCAAGAGCGCAACGGAAGATGGAACCATGCCCGCAGTCAAGGGTAGAAATAAAATTTATTTTCTGTTTTAACTTTCATTAAAGTTTACTTGTGTTTAAATTTGTACAGGAGAAACTATCAAAATGTACATGAACTAGTAACATATTGCATTTTGCAGATTTGTGATTTTTTAATGTAACGTGTATTTTAATTTGGAACAAACGCAGTGTGCTTCTGTAGCATTAAAATGTTTAATGGGGGCGCTGTTGAAGTGTTATTGGCCAGTTGTGATAACATGTTTTTGGTCTGCCACGAGCAATCTGCAGGATTATATATTCAGTCTTAATAATTTTCTTCTTGAAGAGAAATTAAAAATGGATTTATTTCTGAAGTTACTTTCCCATATTTTGTTTGTTTGTTTGTTTTCAATACTACTGGTTTCATTCTTCCTTGCAGAAACGCTGATAACAGAACAGGTCGACGCGACAGCAGGCAGATCAAGCATTCTGCGAAGCAACCGGGCTACAAAAAACTCGAATCATTAATGTCACAAGAGAAAAGCCCTGCCGATGTGGTGCATGAGTTGAGCTCTTTTAGCGAAGGGCTGGAGAATTTGCTGATTGAACGCAACATCCGACGAGACATGATAGCTCTTCTCATACGAGTCCTGGCCAAAACCTGTCACTGCACCAGCCCTGCTTATTCTTTGAGTAGAGTTTTGAATGTAGTCGTTGGCAGTGGCTTTCTCATTCATCTGGGGCGGCACATAAATGATATGATGAGAGAGGAGGACCACGAATACCTGAAGGAGACCTCAGATGAGATCTCTTGCATTCTAAAGCTCATGAAAAGTGTAATACAGACTATCAGTAGCAGCAAGAAGGATGTTGGACTTGTTCTTATGGCTGTTCATTATGTTTCTAGTCCAGTGGGTTTAGAGACCAAGGGATACCCTGTTACAGAGGAGGTCAGGATCTCACTGGGACAGCTCCTGTCATGTTGCAATGAGCCAAAAGAGAACAAGGCCAAGAGGATCCCCCAGGTGAAGGGCCACGGAAATTCTGAGGGGCCTCCACCAAATGACTACAGATACACACCCATCTTTCCAGAGGTTGAGGAAATAACCACCCACATGGAACCATATTTGAGATCCAATGTGGTTCAGGGAGAATACCAGGACCTTGACCATTACTTAGATGTTCACTTTCGCCTTCTGAGACAGGACTTCCTGGAACCTTTGAATAAAGGAATTACGCTGTACCTTGAAACTTTACAGGAGGAAGAATCAAAGAAGGGTCAGAAAGAAAGCAACGACAAAGAGAAGAAAAAAGATAAGCCCAAAATGACTGATATCTACATTTATCACGACGTAAGGGTTCTGTTTCCCATCTGCTCAAACGATGGAATGACTCACCGTCTCAGCTTTGACATCTCTAAGCTAAAGAAGGTGAGATGGCAAGCCACCAAAAGACTTATATTCGGATCACTAGTTTGCTTGTCTAAAGATAACTTCAGATCAGTCTTCTTTGCAACTGTTGCGAACCGGCAACCGCAAGACCTGAAGAATGGATTAGTTGACGTGCGGTTTCAAGGCATGGATCTCGTTTCAGAGATAGATTCCTCGGATTCTTTTGTTATGGCCGAGTCTTCTGCCTACTTTGAAGCCTATTGCCATGTCTTAAAGGGCCTCCAGGAGACAACAGAAACCACTTTACCGCTGCAGCGCTACATCGTCGAAGTCTCAAAAGAAGTCTTACCCCCATCGTACCTCAAGGACGACAGAGATGCGACGTACAATTTGTCGTATTGGGCTAATCCTGATACTGATCATGATGATTATGGTACTGGTGAGTATCCCAGGAAAGGTCAAAGCAGCCATGTCAAAGAGGTAAAGATTTTGAAACGGACTTCTTGGCCAGAAGCCAAAACTCTGCACTTGGACAAGTCTCAGCTAAGAGCCGTTCAAGCAGCCTTGACCCAAGAGGTAGCCATCATACAGGGACCGCCTGGGACCGGCAAAACCTACATAGGTCTCAAGATCGTTCAGGCTCTCCTACACAACAGTGCAGTGTGGAACGGAGGTGGAGAATCTAACCCCATCCTTGTGGTCTGTTACACCAACCATGCCCTTGATCAGTTCCTTGAGGGGATCATGGAGTTTAATCAGAATATTGTCCGTGTTGGAGGTAGGAGTAAGAGTGAAGATATGAAGACTAAAAATCTGAACCTCTTGAGAAACGAATATAGGCGTGGTAAGAAAGTTCAAAGAGCAGTTCACCTTCGCATTAACAACATCTTTACGGAAATGCAGTCCTCGCGCCGAGTGATGGAGTTGTCGCAGAAGAAAATAGAAAAGACTTTCACAGGTATCATCAGTGAAGATTATCTGCAGCCTTTCATGAGCAAGAGACAATACACAAGTCTTACGGCTTATTCTAAGGGGTCAGACTTTAGAGGACCTACATCTTGTATACTAGATTGGTTAGGTCTGTCAACCACGGGACAGAGCATTGGGATCAGTTTTCAGAATGATGTTGGAGACAGCGAAGACGAAGAACAAGACGATGACGATGATGTCGAGGTGGACGAAGAAGCAGCACTGATATCTGAGCAACGCATCCTGGACGACGAAGAAGAAGAAGATATGATCTCTTCTGATGGAGAAGGCTCGGAGAAGAGTCACATAGTCTTAGACGTAGAACACCCTGGCTTAGATATTTCTGTTGGTGAAGGCTGGCAGGTTCAAGCAGGAAGCAAAAAGAAGATGAAGACCAAGCTTCTTCGTAAGCTGAGAAAAACTGACAGGATGTCCGAAAAGGAAGCAGATAGGATTGAAGATGTGTGGACGATAGGGAACATCGACAGCCGTTGGCAACTATATCGTTACTGGGCCAGTGAGTACTGTAACGATGAGCACCGGAGAATGGAGGCTGTGCTTCACGAGTTCGACGATCTGACACAGGAACTGAAGGAAGTTCGTGTAGAGGAAGACTTGTCTATTCTCCGTCATGCCAGTGTGATAGGTATGACAACAACTGGTGCTGCAAAACATCGGAATGTATTGCAACGATTGGGCCCCAAAATCGTAATTGTAGAGGAAGCAGCAGAGGTTCTAGAATCTCACATCATTACCACTTTGAGCGCCGAATGCCAGCATCTCATCCTAATTGGCGATCATCAACAACTCAGGCCAAAACCCACTGTCTATCGTCTTGAAAAAGACTTCAACTTTGGCATCTCTCTCTTCGAGCGGTTGATAAAGAATGATTTGCCGTTCCAGACCTTGGTACAACAGCATCGAATGCGTCCTGAGATCTCAACAATCATGAAGAGTCGCTTCTTTTATCCAGACCTGAAGGATCACACCAGTGTGAGGAATTATCCTCACGTTACAGGAATCCGTTCAGACGTCTTCTTCTTGAACCATGATTTCCCAGAGAATGCTGTTGATGACTCCACGAGCAAGTCCAATCTCCACGAAGCAGAGGTCTTGGTTGGTTTGTGCAAATACCTGTTACAGCAAGGACAATATCAGGCGTCTCAGATCACTATTCTAACTGCCTATGTCGGTCAGCTTTTCAACTTCAAAGAGCTCATGAAGAAGTCAGTCTTTTTCAAAGACGTTCGTGTCTGTTCGGTTGACAACTACCAAGGAGAGGAAAATGACATTATATTGCTCTCCTTAGTTCGTAGCAATTCTAAAGGGAAGATTGGATTCTTGAAGGAACCTAATCGAGCGTGTGTAGCTTTATCCAGGGCACGGCACGGCTTCTATTGCGTCGGAAATTTTAATTGTCTAAAATCCAAAAGTCCCCTATGGAAAGAAATTGTGGACCAGATGGAGAGAAACGGGCTGTATGGAGAGGAATTACAGCTGGTTTGTCATAACCACCCCAAAACAGTTACACTAGTCAGTAACAAAAGTGATTTCCTCAAGTGTCCCGATGGTGGGTGTAGCAAAGCTTGCGAGTATCGCCTCAAATGCGGCCATAGTTGTACTTTAAGGTGTCACCCTGATGATCCAGAGCACAAGGTGTTCAAATGTCTCAAAGCTTGCGATAAGGTTTTAAAATGTGGTCATCTGTGCAGTCTACTGTGCTTCAAACCTTGCGGTAAATGCACCAGGAGGGTCTATAAGACATTGCCTTGTGGGCATCGTAATCAACTTTTTTGCTACCAAAAGCCTGAATCAGCAGTTTGTCAGATGCCTTGTGCGAAACAGTTGACTTGTGGACACCAGTGCAGGCGAAAATGTGGCGAGGATCCGTGTACAGAAGTCTGTCACGAGAGAATCTTGAGTAGTGACTGGCCTTGTGGGCATGCTGTGCAGGTGAAGTGCAGCGACGGTCCAGAGAAATGTACTAAGGAGTGTAGAGTGGTTCTGGAATGTTCTCATCCTTGTCAAGGTTCGTGTGGGGCTTGTAAGAGAGGCCGACTACACGTGCAGTGCAAACAGAAATGCGACCGTACGCTAGTTTGTGGTCATCAGTGCACTGCGTTGTGTACAAGGGAATGTCCTCCCTGCGCTCAGGAGTGTCAGAATCGATGCGTGCACAGCAAGTGTCCTAACCGATGTGGAGATCCGTGTACACCCTGTCAGGAGCCATGCCTGTGGCGCTGTCCACATTACAGGTGCAGAAAGACATGCAGTGAGGCATGTGACCGGCCGCCGTGTGACAGACCTTGTCCTGCTAGGCTTAGGTGTGGTCATCCATGTATCGGTTTGTGTGGAGAGCCATGTCCTGACAAATGCCGCGTGTGTCACAGAGATGAGGTGACAGAGATATTTTTTGGATCTGAAGACGAGAAAGATGCTCGATTTGTTCAGCTGGAGGACTGTGGTCACATGTTTGAGGTCGACGGTCTTGACCAGTGGATGCAAGTTACAAACGAAGGTCAGAAGTCCATTCAGTTGAAGGTATGTCCAAGATGTAAGACACCCATCCGACGGAATCTCCGCTACGGGAACATAATCAAGGAAGCTCTCGGGGACATTGAAAAAGTCAAGGCGCGTATCTTTGGAGAAAAAACACAAATCGAAGACAAAAAAGAGCAAATAACTCGAAAGCTTTCCTTGCTCAAAGATGTAGATTCTGTCAAAAAACACATACAGTCTCCGCGAGTTAGCTTGGCAGACCTACTTATGCTAGAGAACAAAGTGAATCTGTTAGTAGCTATCAGAAAGGCTAAGAAGAGAGTGGATGGAAGTGACATCCCTGAATTCCAGAAACAGATGCGACAAGTTAGAAGAGATCTCTCGAAGCTAAAGCAGTGGTTGTTGATGCCTCGAGAGTATTTAAGCCACCAAGAACTTGACGACGGCAGTTCGGAATTACAGCGTCTCGATATGTGCTCAGAGCTGTATCACATCAAAAGCAAGGTTCGAAGTAAGACAGACTTGAAGGAAGTGGAAGACTTGGTTCTTAGCGGAAAACCGCTCAGAGGAAAGGCGGTGGAGAGAGCGAAGATGCTGCTGAAACGACTCAAACGTCAGAGTGGAGGAACGACTCTTGGGATATCAGAGACTGAAAGGGTGATGATTGTAAAAGCTGTTGGGCTAACGCAGGGACACTGGTTTAAATGCCCGAATGGCCATTGCTACGTCATTGGAGAGTGTGGGGGCGCTACTGAAGAGGGTACATGTCCTGAGTGCAAAGCGAAGATAGGGGGCGGGAGTCACCGCCTCCGGGGTGATAATAAACTGGCAAGTGAGATGGACGGGGCTCGAGTTGCAGCATGGTCGGATGTCGCTAACATGGCCAACTTCGACCTGAGAGAACTGCAAGACTAATGGAAAAGGTAACTAGCCCTGCTGAAATATTACATTCCCATTCAACGACAAAAAATGGAATTTTGTTGAATATGAGATTGTTTTCACCAACTCATTCTCTGCTGAATGGAAGTGAACTTTCACACATTTGAAATAATTATCCTCACAGATAATGTTCGCTATTTTCAACTTCTTTAGTAACTCTTAATGCTACATATAACAATTGTAATCTTCCTGCATTTTATCTGTTGTACAAGTGTGATTTCGCACATATAAAAGCATTTTGAATCCTGTAAAAATAAATTCATTGTGAAACAAGTAAATTTTAACTGCTCACGTGCGTCGAAAACAAGAAATAATTGCATCTAGTGTGTTGGAAGAAATACCGTGCGAAGTGAGCAGATTTCTATCGTTTTTTTTGTTTTTCCAAGCGACATACTGGGCCCTGTGGTCGTATGGGTGGCGCACGGCACAATTTACTGCTCGTTTTATGGTGGGCAGTAATTACCTTCAATGGCAACAACATTTGCCGTTAGTGTTGCTTTCCTGTGGCATATTTAGATTTACCGAAATGATGTCGTGGTATCTTTTCAGCCATTCTGGAATTCCTGCTTTCTCACATGGGATGCTAAAATTTTGGAACATTTAATTTATAAAAGGTTTTTCTCTCCCTTCAATTTGGAAGTAACGTTCTGACAGTTTTGAAGAGCTGCCGCCCAACAGGACGATCCCCTGCCTGAGTGGTTGATCAGGGTCCTTTCCAAAATCTGGAGAACCTTGGCATTTTGTAATATGTAATTACAGCTTTCTCTTTTTGAGAAATGTGTTTAACTTGTCTGTTTTTATTTGACTTCGTTGGATTCTTGTTATATGCGCATATGTATGAAGGTCAAATTTAATATGTATTTAGTCCTACTGTTGAGTTGTGACAATAAGGAAATTAATTTACTTCACAATCTTGATTATGAATTTAAGCAGTTAAAATAAATCAAATATGAGAGTAAACTAATTTTGTTCAGTGGAGAATGCAGACTTGTTACTAACAGTGCTTTAGAGAATCAATCTATGCAAAGCACCTAAAGTTGGTTATCCAGTAAAATGATTGTTACAAAGCCAGTTTATAATATGATTCAATTTATATTTTGTACCCAGTTTTTGAGCTGAAAAACAAAAATATGTGATTCCGTACAAAAACAATTTGAGAAGACAGCAAAAAGCAAACCAAACTAACTCTCTTTACCCACTCGAAACTGCTCACTATGTTTGACACTATGTCTGCACCTTGGTTCCTGCTCATATATGTTTGTCTGATGTTTACCACGTTGATTCTATTGCAAAATACAAAATGGCGTCTTTTCATACATGTCATTAATATATAACGCCCCAGCCGTTTAGGCATATTTTGCAGGTCTGCGTTTTGGTCATGTTTATTCAATTAATTTTTTTTTCTTATTGAATTTGTAGCACGTTATAAACTCATTTATGCATCAGTCAAATCTGTGTTACTTACAATAGACTATACATGTACTAGAGGTTATTACTATCTACTGTATGACAGTTTTATCTTTCTAACAATTGACATTGTGTATTAACGATGACGTACTTATCCATTTAAGACTCCATCCGGAGTGGTAGCGACTTTGATTCGCAAAGGTAGGTAAGATTAGAATCCATATTTCATAATGATGAAGAAGACCTTGATTAAGAAAGGGAGCAGTGAGATAACAGAAATTCGTGTGCACGATGCACGTGCTGATTTACTGAACCAGTGTTTCTGGTCTCACGGTTAGTTTTTCTAGAAATTTTTGGTCTGTTATTTCCCTGTTATAATGGTTTAAAGCAGGAAAATAGACACAACACGTTCTTAGAACAAATCCTATGAATTCGATATTCTATGTAGTAATTAATTTTGTCGATAATTCTACCAAAAATTACGTCTTGATTTTGCATTAGTGTCAAATGCGGAGAATGCGAAGCAAGCAAATTGAATTCCAGAGTGAAACTTTAAAGAAAACTTTGTGTATGCGTGCTTATCCATGAAAAGTAACTGTTGTATTGACTTGGCTTCTTTATTTCTGCAGATACTAGATTTTAAATTTAAAAATAATTATTAGGACCACACGTGCGTTTTATGTATCATGCATAATTTGGTCGCCAGATTAACAAAATCAAATGTTCTTCTCTTGTAATGGTCACCAGAACGAGTTGATTCCTCAGCTCTCATCACAATGTAAGACGAGGGAAAGAGCTATTATCTTAAATCATGCAGCCGTTAAGAGATTGATCAAACTTTATATGGTGATTACCACAATGTATCAATTTTCAGAAATCGAATTTGAACTTTTCTGATACACATAGACTTATATACCATCATTGTTAGTGATTGCACTGTGTGTTTGGTACACTTTCACTTATGTCGGTGGCTGAAGTAAGTTCAGCTATCACATATTATGTTTGTTGGGATTTATAAAGGCTTCATTTTCCTAAGAAGTGGATACAGGAAACACTAGGCCTACATTTACAAATGTATTAGTTCGCATAATTTTAATTAGTATTAAAAACTCATCTATAGAATATTAAAAATATTATCTTTTAGTATTCATATCTTAACATTTTATAAACATTTATGTAAAATGATTGATTTTTTTATTTAGACCAAAGTATTATTGTTCATTCAATATACCCCGGAGGAAGACGACTTTTCCTAGTCCTCCCTGATACCAGACCATATAAGTGGACATCACGCTCGCTCCCTGCATTCGCCAGAAGAAATTCACATTTTTCAACTGACTTTTAAAAGAATTGTGAGGGAAAAGACAGTATAGGAGAAATATGACTGCAAATTCTTTGATATTCTGAAATGTGATTTGTTGGAAATCACGAAAACAGTGAATGGAAAATATATCTGCTAGATGTAAACTTGAGCGGCTTTTTGTAGTCTTAAAATTCATTTTGAAGGGAGATCTATTAAACCGCATATTTTAGTCAATTGAGCAGTCGAATAAATTTTAGCTGTCAGTGAAGAACGCCGGTTATGTTGCATTTGAATTTGTAAAATTTTGAATTTATGTTTAGGTCATAGAAAATGAGGAGAAATGAGCCATGAGCATGGAAGAAGTGGAGGGTAGATTCATCGGTACATGTACTGCGAAAATGGATCAAGGGCTTTTGAACGGTGGGGGGGTTCAGGAAATTTTGTTCCTACAGTTAAGGGGTAGGGTTGCTACATATATAGTTGTCGCTGTTGGTGAGATCCACTTAATCCCTTTGTCTTGTCCTTAACCATATATGCAAAATAACACACCTGCATGGTTATGCTTTTGAGGGATGTTCTAATCTTGAAGGCCCCCTTTAAAATGGCAGAGACCCCCCCCCATCCGCGTTGGATAAAGTCAAATCACGGTCAAATAACTGATTCACATCAATAAAATTTCAGGGAACAAACCTGGCACAAAATTTGTCGTAAATTCACCCCACTTCCCCCTAAATCCAAATTTAAGAATTCAGGGAGAGCGTAATGGGTAAAGAGGGAAACGCTTGCCTCAATCCATTTTTAGGGTTTCGATGTTAGGCCTATGATTAGGATGTTGCCTCGAGAGTGAAAAATAAAAGTCCGCTGATGGGCCATGTCCAGTGTATTGTGAGTGTGTAAACGCCTTCTATCGTGGACCTATAACAATAGGGAACAATAGGGTCCACGGTTGCCGAAGAGTCCACGGTTGGAAAACGTGTACAAAACATATGGGAGGTCTTCCGAAAAAGTTGAAGTATGAAGAAAAGGGGAACAATAGGGAGTCCACGATTGAAGGTGTTTGCACACTGGAGTGTGTGGGGGCGCCACGCATACGTTCGATCGATATCCACCATACGTTACACGTACATGTATATCCACAGTCATTGACAGTCGAGTCATCAGACCTCTCCGAAAATGGCGGCCCCCTTGGAAGAAATTTTACACAAATTGCTTGTACCAAATAGTTCCGTTATTCAAGAGGTAAGAACAGAAAATGGCCTACACTAACCAGACTAGTTAAGAACGCGCTTTGCACAGAACACTCGAGTAAACAGTGTATATTTTACGTCCAAAATTGGCAATGTTGTAACGGGCTTATGCGTTACAAACAGGTTCGGATGGCGTTAACAGGACACGGGTGACAGTGCGGATTATAGACAAATACAAACACAAACGATTAGGTTTATTCAGCAGCGTGTGATCAGCTCACAGAAGCCATCTTGCCAACAATAGCACGGCTTTTCCCATAAGGCACTTGACTATGCATAAGTATGGAGTGATCAACTGTATGTACAATTACACCGCTACAATGTTTTCCAATATTGCCGACATGACCATGATGATGAATGAGTGTCAGACTTCAAGTTCATGTTGAGTTTGGATTAGCCCAGGTTGGACGACATCTACATTGCATTGCGACTAACATCCAGGGTATGAAAGTTCTACTATACGAAATTTTTTCAACGGTTTTTCACAGGTAGAAGGCGAGGAAAGCACCACTCTGCCAATCAGATTCCCCGATTTGTAATCATATTTTTCTCAGCATCTGCATGTTTGCAGTGAATGGTCGTTGTTTTTGCTAGAGCCTGTTAGTGGAAACGTTAACAATTTGGTGCATTGTAACATATAACTCAAGCATGTTAATCATCCTCTGTGATGATCAGTTTCCCACTTTTTCCCGTAGGGCACCAGGGAGTTGAAACATGCCCTGAAGGATCCCAATATTGTCCCAGGCCTGTTTGCTGTCTTGACCAGTTCTAGCAACCCTCAGGTAAAGCTTTGTAAGGAAAACCTCGACTTTGTATGTTGAACTGTTTTTTTCTGTATCAGAAAGACTGATTGTCTCAAATTTATACAAAATTTCTTAAATTTGTAGCAAAATGGACAGGATAAGTTTTGTTACGACTGATTGTTGTCGATTTGGTTTGGTCTGCACAGATACGCCAGCTTGCAGCTGTGCTTCTGCGACGTCGAGTTGTCAAGCAGTGGACCAAATTACCACCAGACATTAGTCACAAGTAGGTGCTGGTTACTGAGCAGCCTCTCCAAACACAAGGGAAACAGGGGAAATGGACATTGTAAATATACAGGAACAAAGATTAACCAAGATCCTGGGAAAAAATCACTAGGTTTGGGATTATTTTGGAGGGTTGTTGAGGGAGATAGACCACAGTCACTATTTCGGAATTGATGCTTTTTATTTGGTTTTAGGAGAGCATAACATTAGCTTCCTGCACAATGGAGGAGTTAGGTAAATATCATGGCACTGCCCTCCTAAACCAAAACATACCACAAGTAAATTGGTAAACATTTGTGTTTAACAGTATCAGCAATATCAACATTGTTGTCCAGAACGCTTAATCACATGACAGGGCGACATAACCGCATGGCACACTCACCACCAGACATCACAGCCTGCCGGTGTTGTATGATATCCCGCACGCACACGCACGCACACGCACGCCGGCGCCTCTCAGCGTGAAGGGTAACACAGGGACCTCTAACCGCTTACGTTGAAGGATTTCTCTGTCGCTTTTAATTTCCCTTAGAAAAAAAAATCCCAACAGAGATTTGACAAAACGTTGTTGACTGCTGTGATGCAGGATATGACATTTTGAATACCATCTGGTACACACAGTACCCTCGACATTGCCTTGAGCACTATGCATTCCTTTGTATTTCACAACATCATATCCCACACCACAGCAGTCAACAGCTGTAAATTGAAGTCAAATCTGTTAGTCAGTCTCAAGGCAATTTGAGTCACCATGAGCGTTTTAAATGAAAAGAAATGAAATGATTCCTTTTACTTCCACTAATGTCCCGAAAGGAGTAGCAAATGGACTTGTGAAATGGCTTTTTATGGGGTTGACTATGATCTTGACCTTTGACCCAATCCACATTTAATGCAACAAATCTCTTTGTAGCTGTCTTTGTACCCCATGGTTAGGCCGATTGTTTGCCACAACGTGGTATGCTCATGTTCACGCAAAAGATTTTAAAACATTTGCTGTGTTTTCTGCTTGTTGATGTGAATTCTCCATCCAAGAAGACGGAGTTTAATGGGGATAATTTATTGTTTTCTTCTAGCCTGAAGCAGATCTCCCTTCAAGTCCTACTTCAAGAAACAGAGTAAGTTTGTATACATTCATGATATTAAGTACTAAATCCAAATCTCTCTGGGATGATTGCATTAAGAATGCCCTTTGCTTACCAGATTAAAACTTTTGCAATTTAAAACCACTGCAGAAAATTTGCACTTGAATTTTACTGAAATTTGGGATCTTGTTCCAATACTCTGCGCATGTGGTGATAAGATGCATTTGTCTATCAATTTGTCATAATTTAACTTAAATGGATTAAATTCCACCTCTCAACGCATAGACGGTTCCGATGACCATGGTAACACCATTACTGGTTTTTTATACTGGCCCCCTTTAATGGCGGTAAGCATAATGACAGCTTTTTTATGCAATCAATGTTCTGTGACAGTCGCTCTTTACAAAACCCCACACAATGCTTACCGCCATTTGTGGGGGCCATCAGGAGTGTCCAGTGAAACAACAGTGGATTCATCTATACTGCACATGGCTTGTACAAGATGAGATCTGTAAGTGAACACCAGGATGAGATGAGGTTTCAGTTTTACCTGTAGACACCTAATGATTGTATTCACAGTAAGAGCGTCTGTAATGCCGTGGCACAGCTAGTTGGAGCCATAGCCAAACATGAGCTGACATCCAGGAATGGCTGGCCCGATCTGATGCAGTTCCTACAACAGCAGAGCCGCAGCCCGGAATGCCAACATAAAGAGGTATGGCTGTGGCTTCCCTTGCTTGTCTTGATCCATTAACATTGAGTCAATTCATTGACTAAAGTTTGTATCCGGTAGTGTCGTCATTGATTTGCATTATTCTAATGTCGAGAAATGCCGTTCTATTTATTCAGTAAACAGAGTTAAAATCATCACAGGTCAAGTCATCCTGTCTCAAGTTAAGTTGTGGATTATCCATAAACTGTTACCATGGTATTTCATGCGTTCCCCTTATATTGCTCATTTCTCAGCATTCCTGACATGCTACCTTAGTTGCCTCGATTACATTGCAACTCAGGTCTTAAACAAAGTCATCATCATTTTCCAGCTTTGATTTGTAAGTAAACGGAAATAATATCTTGCCCCAGAAATGATGCTACATGCATCGGATAATCATGCAGTTGCACAAGATGCCCCAGGTGTTGGGTAGGCTGTCTGGTTTGTAGTTCTTCAGTTGTAAAATGTTTGAGTAATAACAGTTTCTAATTGTGATTTTTCGTTGTGATATTTATTACTTCTGGAGTTGCAGGTTGGTGCCTTAGTGCTGAGTTGTGTCAGTGGCTCGGCTGCCGAACATCTTCGGCCCTACCTACGAGTCATATGCAACCTTTTCAGTACCATGCTGCAACACAGAGAGAGCCAACTTGTTCCTTATTATGCCATCCGAGCTATGACGTCATTGGTGCAACACCTGGGCACAGATGATATCGTGAGTTTGCTACCTTTTTGATATGACATTGAAGGGGAAAGGTTTTAGAACAAATTGGAATGCTTCGTACTTTAAATACATGGAATGTAATTGGATTGTTACCTTTCTAAATTGGAATTGCACTGTGGAAATTGTTCGCCTCTTTGAGGCTCAAGCCATCCAAGGCTATGTCAGAATTACTTGGCTGTGGCTTAAAATTATGCAGGAAGTTATGGTTGTGGCTGCACCATAGGGTTGTGTGTATTTCCCAGCCACAGCCAAGCAATTCGAACACAGTCCAAGGTTAATCTAGATCTGAGGTTTTTCATGAAAGAAAGCAGGTCACAAAATAAAGGTAAACACTGTAGGCATGAGTTGTACAAAGATGTTGCCATAATGTGTAAATAAATACTTGTCAAGATGTAACTTGGCTCACTCAAGAGCAAGGTCCAGTTAGAATCTTACAAACACAAAGTTAACCGTTAATTTTTCCCCAACATGGATGCCATAAAACACCTTTGTTATACACATGAAATTGCCTGGCCTAAAACCCTCAAACTCCACTAGGTGTCATTTTGAACTGCAACAAACAACTTGAGAGCGGAAGTCAGCTGCTGTTTTAAAGCACACCCGGACATTTTCAACATCCATACATAATTTCTGTCTTTATATTAGCCCCAGTTTCGTCCACTAATACCACAAGTACTGGTGGTGATTCGGCTGTTGCTAGGCAGTGATGAGGATCAGGGTTGCCAGGCGATGGAACTATTTGATGAGTTGGTGGAGTGTGAAGTGTCCATCATTGTGCCACATCTGAAGGCTGTCGTTGAATTCTGCTGCGAGGTGAGATGTCATGATTTGCTGGTCGCTGTTCAAATAGACAAGGGTGTTTTAATTGTAACAATTGACCGTAGAGTTAGCCCCCTTCTTCCTCAAGCCACACCCCCTTCTAGTTTACATGCCATGGGAATGTTTTTACTTTGTTCTGTTGAGTAGGCCACACAACTGCCTAAGCAGGAAATCCCATCTTATAGAGTTTAGACTTTTGTAGCATGTCTCATCTTTCCATTCAAAGCCAGCCAGTTTTTCTCTCTTTCACTGTTTGTGGTTGGTCACATTTGTGGTCAGCTATTTTCATTTGAACTTAGAGAATTTGCTGAAGTGGGTTTCAAATCTCCTACGTTACCTTAGTAAGCGAGCTATCCAGTCCTGTAGTTTACAGCGTGTCAAATTATTGGTATTGTGATGAATAATGTACATAGTTCATATGAGGTTATTAGAGTTGACCATTTTTCAAACATTATCTTTTGCAGGTGGCCAGCAACGGTAACCTTGGTAACAACGCTCGAGTTAAAGCTTTGTCCTTCATTAGCTGGCTCACAAGTCTCAAAAAGAAGGTGTGAACCAGAGTGTTTCCATTGTCTTTTTTCACCGAAAATAGACCATGTGGTCGGTGTGTCTATTTTTGTGGCTACTACTTTGTACTTTCCTTTGCCTCGTAGCTGCCAAGCTTTAGTCAGCACCTCAAAACTCTGATTTTGTGGAGCATTCTATTTGGAATGTCAGCAGGTTTCAATTAAACACAGCTTTGAAGCTCAGATATGTACTCAGTATGAACCATGTTTCATCCGCAAAGAATACCTTCCAGTCCAAATATCACCCGCAGTATGCTTCATACAATTGTTTCTCTACTTAGGTTTGTTTTACACAATTTGCTAGGCAGTTTTTCCTACTTACGTATATATTTTTAAGCCATGTTTGAAATGTGCTTCCAGAGCTAAAGTTGTGTCTCTTGTTTTTACTCATGGCTACATTCTTTCAACTGATGGAGACTTAGACCTGGCGGTGAACACAAGATTCAGATTTGAATTGTGTGTCTCAGTAAATCCCTGTACTAAACTGAAGTCAGCAGGCAACCAGTTTGTAGCAATAGGCATCACACTATAGCCTGTGGCTGGCGACCGTTTCTCTGCAAGGCAAATGTTCTCTGTGCTTGACACAAATCTACACTTGGGGTGCCATGTTCCATGTTCAGTATCACTAGTCAACCTTCGTGATAACCTGCAAATAACCCATGCTAAGGAGGAACAGTGCTTGGTTTAAATGATAATGCAGCATGCTCCATGTGTGTATCAAAAGTTTCTAACAGATTGATAATATTATGTTTAGGAACTCAATTCTTAAATAGATGTACTAAAAATCAGGGTTTGTGAACACTCAGTTGCCAGTTTGGTTTCCACAGGCAATTCTGAAGTACAAGCTAGTCAATCCAAGTCTCAAAGTGCTGTTCCCAATAATGTGCACACCCCCTGAGGAAGAAGAGGAAGATGATGATGAAGATGATTGTGGAGAGGATGCCGAGGCCAATACACCATCTTCATTTGCAGCCCAGGTGGAGTAACATAGCTTCCTGGCAAAGCCAAAACCTTACCTATATCATGCTGAAGGCGAACCCTCCAATTTGTCAGACAGAGATAAGTTTTGTTGGGCAAGAAAAACTAATCACTCTAAAGTAGAAGCTGTAACCTGTGACACAGGGATCAACTCATTTAAATATTCGTGATCACTGGCATCAGTGCTATATTCGCTAAGCACAAATACTTGTGAAATGTGTCAGCTAATTAGATTTAGGGGAAAACAGTTTGTTCTGCGGATCGATATGATTTTATAACATTGTTGAAGCTGAAGTTTGTATCGGCAGAAGGAAGATTACCTTGCCTCTGAAACTGTCCATTTGGAGTTGAAGGTGGTCCAAGTTGTGTAAACTAATCAGCTTTTCCATAGGTGCCATAGAAGGTTGCAGACAACGTCAAAATGCTCTACCAGCCGTCCAACTTTGAGACGGATATTGTTGCATCCTCTTCATGGAAACTTTTCTCCATCAGGTGATCGATACGATGGCTCTCCACCTCCCTCCTGACAAGCTCCTCCCCCCACTGATGCAGCTGGTACAGCCGGCCTTGAGCAGTAGCAATCCCTACGAAAGGAAGGCGGGGCTTCTCAGCATAGCCGTACTTGCAGAGGGATGCGCTGACTTCATCCGAAATAAGTAAGGGTGTTATGCCATGCCCACAGGGTCAGGGTTTCTTGAATTCTCTAGAATTTATCGTAGTTATTAATGATGACGACACAAGGATTTCCCAGAAATCCCTTCAAGCTTGAAGAAAAAACAGTAGATAAGTCAATGAAGAAAGGTTTGGTCCTAGAGAAAGGGTGAAAAAAAAAACCCTCCAGGTGAGAAGTCCCCCGGGAAATCTACAGAGTCAGGTAGGGACTGAGAACCCAAGCCACCTGTCAGCCTGGGGTTGGGATTTGATCCCGTGAAAGGTGAGGAAAGTACCTCTAGGCCAGCCTGACCTCCCTCATTACTACTAACTAGATTCACCAGCTAGTTGGATGAAAAGATCACTACAGCATCATATTCGGTTTCCAAAACTGTGGTATTTCTTGTGGTTATGAAACACAGCATGGAGTGTATACACTGTTTTTTGTCTGCATGAATTTCCCGAGATGTTTTGTAAGATGCGCGTATTTCATGACATTTTCTTCTTCAGACACCTGCAGTCATTACTGGAGTGCATCTGCAACGGCATTCAGGATTCCCAGCAGGTGGTGCGCAATGCTGCCCTTTTCTGTCTGGGTCAGTTTGCCGAGCACCTACAGCCTGACATCAGCAAGTACCATGCTCAGTTACTGCCGCTGCTGTTTGATTATCTCAGCCAGATGTCTGCGGCGGCAGATCAGAGCCCTAAAGGAGTGACTAGGATCTACTATGCTCTGGAAATGTTCTGTGAAAATTTGGGTAAGTTGTGAGCCACTTCATTTTGATCCTTTTAAAGGGCCTGTGTAATTCTTTCATTACAATTTGTGAACTGGTACGTTTGTTAAGTTGTGGTTTGCCATTTTAAATGGTATTTTGGGTTTGTTTGTTGGTCTTGTTTTTATGTTTTGCTGTATTCAAAAGCAAAACTGTAAGTTTGTGGCAGAAACCTCAGTGTTACAGCTATTTATATGAAAATATTGCTGGAGCGTTGGTATTTTGTTGTCAAACTTTCTCCTCTCTGGTACAAATCCAAATGATTTCAGTGGCATTCAGCTCCCGCCAATAGGAAATGTCAATATTTTGGGGCAACTTGGCTTTAGTCTTTAGTCAAGAACTTTGTGTGTATGTCTGATTTACAATAAAAAGAATTTCTGTTGGAACAATCATAATACATCTCTGGGAAAACTCCCGGAGGTTGGAGCAACGATAAATGTGCTGCAAAAATAGCAGAGCAACTAATGACAGGGTAATTCTGCCCCCTCCCCCTATGCATCATTTCAGGGTTAGCAGATTTGCTTAGTATACAGGGCTCTAAGCACATGATGACTGGTCACGAATCAGCTGAAGCCTTTTGCCATCCTGTTACATTGTTAATCGTAATTTGGATGTTTTTTCTTTTCTGCAAAGGATCAGAGGATTTACTTCCGTACCTTCCCACTTTGATGGAAAGACTTCTGGTTACATTAAAGACATCAACTAACACGCACATCAAGGAACTTGCTATCAGTGCTATAGGTGTGTTATCTAGAACCATAAACTTGTTACTAGTCCAAGAATGGGCTGGACAGAGCTACTCTAGTTGTCAAGGCCAGTATATCAGAAAATCTTCTTGAGTTTTCTGGTAAACCATCCTTGACAACTTCTTTTCCAAAATATGTTTATTTGGAATGCTTTTTAACATTTGTGCTGTCATAAAAATTACATTCGCACAGGAACTCCTTTTAAATCAGACAAATTGTCTTGTCAGATTTTTTTTCAGTTTTCAAGGCATGCAGCAAAAATGTAGACAGACTTCAAAAAAGTGTCAAAATCGCACAAAATTTCAAACAAGACAAGATGGGATGTTGGCATTTCAAGTTTAGGAGCCTACATGATGGGTTGGAAACATTTTCCCAAGGATGGATTGCGCTGGGGAGATGTTACTTTATTTTGGATTTTTGCCCTGCTAGGCGTGTATTGTAACACTGTATACTCAGTGTTTGCCCCGGAAGGCTTGTGAAAAAACCACAAGCGTACTCAGGTGGGACTCGAACCCA